CGGGCGGGGGCCCCCCCCTGCCCCTCCCCCCGAGTGCACAAATTTTTGTGCCCCGGGCCTCTAGTCCTATATAATTCTATATAATAAAAAGCTAATATGCAAATCGACCAAATGGTTGAATGACCAGTCACTATGATGTGCACTGACCACCAGGGAGCAGACAGTTAACGCAGGAGCTGTACCCTGGTGGTCAGTGCGGTCCCATGGGGAGCACTGCTCAGCCAGGGGTGGCAAGAGCCTCTCCCGCCTCCATGGCAGTGCTAAGGACCCCTTCAGGGGATGTCCGCTTGCCTAAGGTTGCAGGCGGACATCCCCCAAGGGGTCCCAGACTGCGAGAGGGGGGGGGTGGGGCCGGGCCGGGCCCCCCCCCCCCCCGCCTCCAGTGCACAAATGTCGTGCACCGGGCCTCTAGTATATTTGATAATGATGCAACATCTAGCACATAAAAAGAACACTTCCAATTCAACAGCAAAAGCCAGTCACAGAAGGACAAATACTGCATGTTTCCTCTTACATGAGGTACATAAAACAGTCAGACTCACAGAAGCAAAGGTTAAAAATGGTGATTACCAGGAGTTGGGGGGAGGGTAAAGGGAAGTTATTCCTCAATTTGTATAAGGTTTCAGTTATGCAAGATAAATTAGTTCTAGAGCTCTACTGTACAGTATAGTGCCTATAGTCAACAATAATGCATTGTGCACTTAAAAATTTATTAAGCCCTGACCAGGTTGCTCAGTTGGTTGGAACATGTCCTGTATATTTTCGGTTTGATTCCCAGTCAGGGCACATATCTGAGTTGTGGATTTGATCCCCATTTAGGGCATGCATGGGAAGCAACTTATCGATGTTTCTCTCTCACATTGATGTTCCTCTTTCACTCTTGTTACTTCCTTTCTCTCTAAAAAATCAATGAAAATATCTTCGAGTGAGGATTAAAAAAAAAAAAAAAATTTTTACCAAATGAAAAAAGGAAAATGATCCACTATAATTTCCATGAATAAGTAATCTTTAAAAGATTCACAGAACCACTAAATGAACACAATATTGTCAAGAAATCCACAGCATTTACTAATGTTCATGTTATTTTTTTTTTTTTTTACACAAAGGTCAAGAAATTAGAGTCGCAGAGACGAAGCAACTGAATGTTTATGAGATAAAGGTCAAGAAATTAGAGTTAGAACTAGAAGGTGCCAAACAAAAATTTAAAGAAATGTCTGACAGCTATAAAAAAGAAATTGAGGACAAAAAGATATCAGAAGAAAATCTTTTGGGAGAGGTAGGAAAATTAAGTATGTGTGAGAATTTGTTATACTAAAACTCTGTATTTGTTTATTAAGTAGCATTTTAAGAGAAAAGTAATTCTTAATTTTTAAATTATGACTTTTAAAAGGTATAATAAATTTACACTAGGGACAGTTTCTTATAGAAGCTAAAAGTATCCTTGTTATTCTGTTTGAGTATTGAGTAGTTTATAATTATTTTGAAAAGATTAAATGATCATTAAAATGTTACACTGTCATTTCACTTGATAGAAATAAACCAAAACAGTAATGCATTTTTTTTACTTGGCTTTCCTAAATTTCTGGTGTTTGATTTCTGCATTTTATATACTAACATATGGTCTCTGCATTTGTATAATAGCATATGGTCTCTAAATTTAAGTTAAATTTGTTTTTTGTGTTTAATTTTATAAACACTTAATTGATTTGATAGGCTGAGAAAGCCAAAGTAACAGCTGATGAAGCAGTACGATTACAGAAAGAAATTGATATACGATGTCAACATAAAATAGCTGAAATGGTTGCGCTTATGGAAAAACATAAGGTAATTTTTTTCTTTTTGTGTAATGAAAATTATATATTGGAGCCATATTTATGCATAAAATTAATATAGCATTCTGATTTATCAGAAAAATTATTGGTAATTTTCTCTGATAATTAATAGATATTTATAGTTATAGATGTAATTATAGATAATTATAACTGGAATGCCCTTGATCTCCCATTTCTCTGGGTTTAAATCTTAACCGCACAAAGCTTAGCTTGAGTGTCACTTTGAGAAAATCTTTTATGATGAATGGAAGTGGTCATTCTTTATCTGAATTTTCCTAGTATTCTCTTACCGGTATAACACTTCCCATCCAGGATATGTGTTTTGTTAATATTTGTATCCTCTATGTGTGTCTAACATACATGAGGCTAAATGAACTTTTATCAGTGGAATAAATAGATGAAAAGCTTAATGTTTGTTGTGTTTGTGAGTGTGTTCTATTTTTTACTGTTGTTTAAAGTAATCATTCTGTTAGCGAATTAAGCCTTATTCTCTTCAGGATTTGGAGAGGAGGTGAGCTATATCTACCTATTCATCTTTAAAAATTGTTGCTGGGATATAACATTACTATGAGGTAACCAGTGAGGATTAAAAAAAAACTTTTTAAGTAAGTTTGTGAACTCATAGGTTTAAACATATTTGGTATATCTCAGTCCAATGCAGTTTTTATATTTGTCTCATCTTTGGCTAGTGGGGGCCTCTTCACACTGGTGGCAAGTCCTTTTGACTTGACTTTATTTTATTATTATTATTATTATTATTATTATTATTTTAAAATATGTTTTAT